TTGAAACTCTGGCTTTGTTCCCTCATTAGTCCAGAACAGGCTTTGATATCTCCCAGCTAATTCTTCACAGGATGGGGATCAAACCTGGACTCTTCTGGGTATAAATGACCCAGGTTAACCCTATGCAGTGACTCCACCAGCAAATGCTATGGGACAGCTTACAAATGTGTTTAATACATCATTAATGCTAACAAATGTGTTTAGCCACAAAAAAAATTACCAGGTGCCTCCTTGAGTTTAACAGACAAATGCTCGAAAAAAACAGGTTATTCAGGATCTTTTAAAATAAATGTATTGTCTGTTTAATTTTTTTCTAGTGCACAGTGGTTGTTTCATATATACAGTTGAAAGAAGTAGACCATTCATCTTCTTATTTTCAAACCAGTGTTGAAAAATACTTCAAAATGTGGGGATGCTTGACACAATCTATGTTCAACAAGTTACACTTGTAACGCCCTTCACATCGGAAAGACATCCCAGGACGCTGGACTGTCACGGGTTTTTGGACCCGAGCTGGGAATTGGGAGTTAAAAACTAAAATAATGCAAGCAGATATGTTCAGTGTTTTATTTTTATTTACTGTTATTAGAAATGGCTAATGCAATTCAAAATTACATTTGTAAAGTGCCCTTCACATCGGGAGGATGTTCCAAGGCGCTGAACAGTCAGTGATTAGGATCCAAGCGGGAGGTTTGGGAGCAAGGAGGGTATAGGGCAGAGAGGGTAGAAGGGTGGCTGAAGGCACGGTCGAAGCAGAAGGTCTTGAGGCGTGCCTTGAAGGAGGCAAGGGAGGAATGTGGCGAAGGGAATGTGGGATGGAGTTTCAGATGGTGGGGGCAGAGAGGCTGAGAGTCTGAACGCCGATGGTGAGGTGGGCCGGGTGGGTGACATGGAGCAGGCCAGAGCTTGCTGAGCAGAGGAACTGGACAGGTTGATAAGGGGTTAGCAGGTCGGAGAGGTAGGAGGGGGTAAGGCCATGGAGGGCCTTGAAGATGAGAACGAGAATTTTGAACTCGATCCTCTGAGGGCTGGGGAGCCAGTGGAGCCGGGTGAGGGTGGGTGTGATGGGGTCACGGAGCCTGGTGTGTGAGAGAAAGTTCTGGATAATCTGCAGCTTGTGGAGGTAAGAGTTGGGAAGGCCAACAAGCAGGGCATTGGCACGTCAAACCTGGTTGTAATGAAGGCATGTATGAGGCTTTCAGCAGCCTGAGGGGTGAGGCAGTGGCGGAGTCGAGCAATGTGGTGGAGGTGGGAGAAGGAAGAGAGAGTTATGGCACGGATGTGGGGGAGAAAGGACATTTGAGGGTTGAACAAGACGCCCAGGTTCCTGACTGCCTTGGTGAGGTGGAGTGTGCATCCTTGGATGCTGATGCTGCCAGCGCCTGAGGTGTGGAGGCGCTGGCACAAGCCAATCAGGAGAGCCTCGTTCTTGCTGACATTCGACTGTAGAAAGTTGGCTCTCATCCAGGACTTGGGTAAAGAATGTTGCAAGCCTTTCTTGATGTATTTCTTTAAGCTGCCTGCTTGTGCGGTACAGAACTAATCATCCCCAGTGCTCACCAGATGCCAAAATATATTTGTGTGCTGTCTAATTGACTTAGTGTTTAAATCTGATAGTTCATTACTTTGGGGCATAATAAAATCAATTGAATATGTGACAAAATTGTATTAATTGCAAAGGATCGTCTGCTTGTTTTTTTTATTTATCTGTGACAGTTGGGTGAATGGGTATCAACAAAATAAATATTGCTGAGAATAAAATTTAACCCCAAAACAACAGAATGACATTACATTCGTACTTACTATATACATCACATTAATTCTCATCTATAGATTACAATAGCAATTAACAATACATTACATAGGACTTGGTACATATATTACTCGACATCAAATTTACATTATAATGCCTTTCACGCCTTTACGTTTGTACTCAACACGTGCTTACATTAGTATTTATCCATATCGAGCTGAATTTCATGATTTCCGTGTTTCTGCTGAGCTATACAGTGAAGCAGTAGTTAGGAACCATAAGCTCACCATGGTTATTACCATGGATCAGGGAGGTTCACAGTCCTGATTTCTATTCAGTGATCTCTGCTGGCAAGTACACATATGTGCACATCAGAGGCCTGAAATTCTATTTTCAGATTTTTTTTGTCTTAAGATTTAAGATCGCACAGAATTGTGAGACAGGCCCGTTTGACACAGCAAACTAATGAGTTGCTGCTCCAAAAGCTGGAGCTCTATCCACTCCACTGTCAAGGCTAACCCAGTGATTAATTTTATAAGACTCAGCAAAATGAAAATACTTAGTGTAAGACATTAGTTGGACAGCATCATCGAAAAGTACAACAAAAGTACAACACACCACATAGTGGTATGATATAGCTTCATCCCTGTGATTCACTTCATTGTGAGTTGGCAGTTCAGCCGTCAAGGAGAGGAGCCAAGGCAGTTTCAACAGAGACCATTTGGAAGAGGAATTGACAAGGGCTGATCTTGTGTAACTCTGCAGCCTGTTAAAGACCTAGGTTGTCTTGGGAGTTGCTGACTGGTTAGGATAGGAGGAAAGCATTCAAAAACAGGGAAGCCTGCAAGAGACATGCTGCAAAAGGTTTGCTAATTGATTCATTTGCTTTCATATTATAACTTTTACAATTTAGATTGCCAGCAGCAGCAAAATGAGTTCACTGTGATTCATTGTGATCAAGTTCACAGCAGTGGTAAATGCTGTACTGAACATTTACTAATCAGACAAAATGGCTTCCAACCCATACAGCTCCGTTGAAGCCATCCTACTTGACATATTTCTGGCCTGCTGTGTTTTTTTTTTGCAATTGACTTTACTCATTGGTAATAAAGGAAAGTTTACCTTTGTTTAAATGCAAGCAACTTCACTTTAATATCCATGCACATTCCTCGTGACTGAATAAATTATAGACATTGCTGCTTCCTTCAAAGGCAAACAAAAGCCCTTTTGAGCAGATTCCAATAGATCAATATCAAGCTCCACAGTAAAATGGAATTTTAACCGGCATTTGTCTCCATGGCAGGGAATAACTTTAGTCTAATTTACACAGATATAGTCTGTACTCACAACGAGCTGAAATTAAACTGGAATTTTGATTGAATCCAAATCAGAAAATATCATTGATGCCCGAACTTTCTCAGTTTTCAATTCCAGTTGTATGAATTAGCAAGATGAAGTGGTATCAGTTTAAGAATCCCACAGTATCTGCCCCAGATATTATCAGCATCTGTACCAAAAACACCAGTGACATAATTAAGTAACTCGCGTAACATCTTGTAGTTGGTTCCCTGCTCAGATTCAGTTCCCTATGGATCACTTCATATAAGTAGAGCGGAAACACGTGAGAGACTGAATGCAAATGTGGATTAATCATTTTGGAAAAACGTTGCAAAGTTGTCAGCCCATAAGTTGAAAAGAGTAACTGATTCTTTCACTGGGACTGTATAGGACATGGTATAGGTCTCTGTAAATATAGATCCAGTACTGATGAAGGGATTTAAGGGAATAAGAGATGAGATTGATACAGAATTAATGACTCAGTCTAAAAAGCCAAATCAAAGTTTATGTTGCAGAATGAATTCAAGATTATTTTTAAGCTAGTACTAGTTGCGTGGAAATAAGCTTTCAGATGGTTGTGAGTTTAATTTCAGATAATCTATCTTGTTCATCCCATTTGCTTTTGTTTTGTTTTTCCATCTGCAATTATACTTTTGGTTAAGGGAGTTTCTCCCGGTGTCTTTGCCAACAATCACCCACCCCCAAAATATTATCAATCACTCTGTGGCTGTTTGTGGAACAAATTGGCACAAAATACACAGTTATACAACTTTATAGTATATCCTGGGAAGCAATTGGAGACATTTTGATGCTGCGATAATGCATTATTTCAAATGTAAGGATTATTACTTTAAATATCGGTGTGTCTATGTTAATAATCCTTAATAATAATCCTTGCATTTGATATAGCGCTTTTCACGTCGGGAGGACGTCCCAAAGCGCTTCACAGAACACACTGTAAAGTGAATTGACAGTATGTTTGTGGGCGAACGCAGCAGCCAATTGCGCACAGCAATGTCCCACAAACAGTCGTAGATTGAAAATGACCAATTTATTATTGTTTTGTTTTTTTGGAGGGATTATTATTAGGCGTGTGGAGTAAGGAAACTTGCCCAAGGTTTCGCCCTGCCTGGAATTGAACTCAGGTCTCTCACTTGCAAAGCGAGTGCTCTAATCACTGAGCTACAGGACTCCACTTTTTGCACATGTTTCTATTCCTCCTTCCCTTTGAGAATTTATCATTTAAGATATATTTCCATCTTTGTTTACTTTCCCAAAACGGAATGGGATGAGGCACTCCTTCTGTGCTGTAAACGTTCAGTGATTCTAATGCCCTGAAAGAGTTGGTCAGAATTCCCATTAAACCAGTTGAAGGTCACAGCTCTTTGTTCTTTTAACAGTTCTCCTGCTGCATCAGTTTGCATTCATTTGCATGATATTAGAAATTTACATGAAAGTACAAAGTCAGTCATCCACATATGGAGCCAAACTGACTCCAACCAATTATTGAACAAATCACATTTATTTCCTGGGCATATCAGTACTGTTATGTGCAAATCTGGATGTTAAATCACCATACTATATATACTAGGACTTAGATGTATCCTGTGGTTTGGCGTTATATTCATGTAAGCCACCTTAGGCCCTTTTTGCACATGTTAAATATGTCAAGTGTAATTACTTTGGACCAACATAAACCTAATTGAGGGTTTAGTATAGGTTAAAGTTACATGGTGATAAATTCCCAAGGTATTTCTGTTCATGACAGTCACTAACTCATTATTATAATTCTGCTCTGAAGGTGTTAGAGATCATAATTGATAAGAGATCATAATTGGACAGAGATGTGTCCTAAAATGGTTGTGCTAATGAAGATTGCTAATGCTTATGAAAATAAATGGTTCCACAGAGTCAGTGAGAGGGAGGCTGCGCTGGAAGCAGCCCTCAGAATGCTGCAGCAGTTCTATCTGGATTTGGACAAATTCCGGGCCTGGCTTACAGAAGCAGAGACCACTGCCAATGTCTTGCAGGACGCCACCTACAAAGAAGGACTATTGGATGATGCCCAGCTGGTTCGAGAGCTGACCAAACAGTGGCAGGTACATGCAGTGAAGTGTGTTTCTAATATAGTTAATAACATTTTGCTTGTGCAGTATAATAAGCATTATCATATTAGGTCTGATTAGTAAAAAAAAGCTTTTTGCAATATCAAAAGATTAATTCATGAAAAACAGTGTTGCTTTGTGATTAAAGTGTGTTTTTAAATGTTACTAAGTGTATGGCAAAAAAATGTTTTGCTCACTTCAATCCACAAATGTCTGTGGGACACTGCTGTGCGTAAGTGCGTAATTGGCTGTCAGATTTCCCCCACAAACTATACAGTCAATTCATTTTGCAGCGTATTCTGTGAAGCACTTTGAGTCTTCTTGAAGCTGCATAAGGCGCTAAATCCAATGCAAGGATTATTATTTGGGGAACTGTCTGAGATGAACTTTGTCTCTAGTATTTTACAGATATTTATTTTCAAATGAATTCAGTTATTTTCCGCAGAATGATTATTTCACAAAAGAGGGTAAATGAAATCTAGCTACGTTATATTATTTTCATGTTATTCAATAGGATCAGGGGTAGGCAATGTAATGTAGTGAATGCTCTATGGTGCATGGCTCCTTAGTTGTGAAATGCAGCGTCATTTAGGAGAATTCACCAATCTTTGCATGAATGTGGCTACTGGCCAAAGATTAGATTCACTTGTTATGCATTGATAGGCAGATTGTATGGGATGCAGTCATTGATTGTCTGGCCAATGTGAACTGATTCTTGGAGCTGCCCTGTTTTGTAAGAACATGTGTTAACAGTATTACACTTTAAGAAACTATTGAGAGTGCACTGAATTCTGCTATGGCGAGAGGTGGTATTCCTTTTGCAATGTGATAATCCCAGAACAGAAACATTACTGGATTTTATATCAGGCAAACAAAGAGGGAAATACCTTCTATTTTCTCAGAAGTGGTTGTGGAGGCTATTTGAAAAAAAATTGTATTCACTGAGCATTAGTGTGATTGGCCTCCTTTCTCCTTGACTTCTGTTAGGTGTTGATGCTCATATTTTAGACGTTCATAATTGAAGCCTGAACTGTGGCCACTTTGGGTTGAAATTGAAAGGATGCAATCAGACCAATCAGTAAATTGAGATCTAATTTGGAGTTTCTTAGCAGGATTTCTTAATAAGGAATCCGAGTTGTGCAAGTGGGGACTCCTTTCAGTAACTGGAAGCACATCATTCTGACCCTCAGTTACTCCAGTGCGATGTGATCTGCTTCCGCAGTTTGTCAGAATGAGTATTGAGAATCTGATTATTAATAACATAATCGTATTAAGAATTATGCCAAATTAAACCATATATGAGTAATTTGAGATATGAATGGGGTAAGGGTGTCTCCTTGGAGCTGAACTGGCTCCAAGGTGACATGCCTGGCAATGGAATGTCAGAATCGAGCCAGCCATCTCAGTAGTCCGGTTCCTGAGCCAGGCAGGTCTGCAGTATTCCAGCACTGCTGATGACAACACAGCCAACCTGGCTCATCAGCAGGACTTGGAAGGCAGACCAGTCACTGGGGGCAGGGAGTGAGTCATCCCACTCAGCTCCTGTTAATGGGTAGGGTGGTCCTAGCTGGACAAGCACCAGGAAAGCTTGCTATCAAGCAACATCAATGGCAAGCTATGTGGTTTAACTGGTTAGACTCCAGCAGTACCCCAACTCACACTCTGGGATCCCCAAGCTTTGGCTCTTACCAACTTGCACCTAATACTTTCTGGAATTAGGTAAGGAAGATGTGTCCCTCCAGGGAGAGAATGCGCATTCCAACAATCTATCTCTGGGATTTCATTGTGTAGGTAGGATGCATGGAAATTTCAGCTTGTTTGGGTTACTCTTAAGCATCATGATGGATTTCCGCATGTGTCAGGCTGACCAAAAAAAAGGTGAGACTATTGGATTAAGTACAAAATAATATCGTAAATAAATCAGAGGTGCCAAGGGAGAACTAGCAACAGATGCACCGCATGCTGATGGGTTTCCGTATGTGTCAGACACCCGGCTGACCAAAAAAACAAACATATAGTAAGTGTAGTATGCTAGAAGAACTAGGCAACTTTGGATCTAAGATTCCCAAAGTTTTCCACTGTGTTTATAGACTAATCTATACAGAATAAATTGCTATCAACATCTCCATTATTAATCTATACAGAATAAATTGCTATCAACATCTCCATTATTGTATCATGTAAGTATCAGGATGGTAGAAGGCAGATTCGATGGACCTTGGCCTTTATTCGTCTAGCAATTCCCATATTCCTAATTCTCCCAAATCATTTTCCAGGAAATGAAGGTACAAATCATCAAAAACTAGTTAGTTGCCATCAAATATTTCTGCTCTGCCTCAATCAAAAGTGTGCTATCCATAACTTGAAATCATAAAACTTATACTATTTTTGTCTCTAACAGAACAAGACATCTTCTTCCGCAATGGTCAAGTAGTTCACTGAAAAATCCTTTACTCACACATTACTTGAAAATAGAGAGAGCATAATGAAATATCCAGCATCTTTTATGTTCTAGAAAGAGCAATTGGATGTAGAGTTTTATAGCAGTTTTATGTACAGTACTTCAATACCATTTCTATTACATTTTCAATTTTGAATGAGAATCTTTAAATAGGCAAGATTATTTTATCGGATATGATTTTATAAACTATCAGATGAGGCGAACAAAAAGATGTTTGAATCAATCTGCTAAAAATCTGCTAAGTGTGCTCCAGAATTTTACACTGTGCAGCAGACCCAAACCAAATGAAACCAGGCATGAAATACTATCTGAGAGAGAAGTTTACAAGCTCTTCATAGAAACATCATAATAAAAGAAATGCTTTTCATGTTCATTTTGCTGCAACGATGGCTGCATTCAAACGTAAATAATTTGTAAAATCACTTCTTTATCAATATTTGAATTATTAATACCCAGACATACACTGTGTGGTAATATCAATTACACCAGGAGCATAGTGCTTCCTCACAACATTGTTGTCTGAACACTGGTGTCTTTGTACAGTCTTCTTCATCTGTCTATGTTGAGATCTCCATGTTATCATCAAAGTAGCCTTGATGGAAAATTGAGCTCACCCTTTAACTGATCTCTGGGATAAAATTCCACTTGGGTCTAGATTTACGCTTTTAGCGTAACATTTTAGATTGGCCAGAATTTGCCAAATTCTTAAACACAGCCTTTAATTTTGAAGCCAGTTTTCTGTTAAGTTCTTTCTTGCTACAGAAAATGGGCTTCAAAGTTAAAACTCAATGTTGTGTTAACTGAATAAATCTAGACCCAGGTGGATCCACTCATTTTTTATTTAAATATGTGACATCATAATGATTTCAACCACAGAATGGGTAAAATTCAGCCAAAGACACTTTCAAGATGACTTATCGTCATGATGGGCAGATGACCTTTGGTCTTTACTGGCAATCATTAGCACTGCTCTGAATTTGAGGAGATGTACTTGATTTATTAATCAATTGGGGCATTGCTGTGCAGAAAAGAGCTGCTGCGTTCGGATATAAATTCAGTCACTACACTTTGCAGAAAAATCTGTGAACCACTTTGAGATTTCCTTTGACTTGAAAAGTGCCATACCAAATGCAAGGATTATTATAATAATATAATAATCCACATGTGTGCTGCGGATGACACTCAAATCTACTTCTCCTCCAGCTGCGACTCCCAGTCCACTGATGTCCTGTCAGCTTGCCTGAGGGACATCAAGGCCTGGATGACCGCATATTTCATGCAGTTGAATGTCGGCAAGGCAGAAGCCATACTCTTTCACTCGTGCCAATGTCTTCTTTCCTGCGGGTCCAAACTCCTCAAACTCGCCGGACTCTCCCTCAGACTCACTGAACCCGTGTGCATCTTAGGCATGAGGTTCAATCCCCATCTTTCTTTTCTACCCCACATCCGTTCCCTGACCATCACTGCTTTTTTCCACCTCCAACACATTGCCTGCCTCCGTCCTTACCTCACACCCACAGCAGCTGAAACCCTTGTCCACGCCTTTGGCACTTCCTGGCTAGACTTTTCAAATCCCCTCCCCCGCTGGCCTCCCCAGTTCCAACAAACACAAAATTCAATTAATTCAGAGCTCCACTGCCCAGACACTAACCTGCATAAAACTCCGGACTCCCATCACACCAGTCATTGTCAGGCTGCGCTGGCTCCCAATTACTGATCGACTTCAAGATCCTCTCACTCGATTTCAAATTCCTCATGCCCTGGCACCTTCCTACCATCCGATTTGCTTACCCCCACTCAACCACTCGCTTCCTCTGATCAGCCGGTTCTGGCCTCCTGTTTGTCTCTCGCCCCCTCCGCTCCACTATCGGCGGCCATGCCTTCAGCCATTACGCCACGAAGTTCTGCAACTCTCTCTCTCAATCCTTCCGCCTTGCCCCCCCCTCTCCCCACTTTCAAATCTCGCCTAGACACCTTCCTTTTTGATCGTGCTTACTGTCACCCTCGCTCTCCCTCTGGCTCAGAGTCAGGCTCCGCCACTTTCAAGTGCACTATCAAGAATATACTGTAAAATGAATTGACTGTATATTTTGTGGGCGAAATGCAGCAGCCAATTACTCACCGTAGTATCACACAAACAGTCGCTGATTAAGTGAACAATTTTTTTAAAAGAATTATTACTCTTAGAAAATCAATCCACCAATCAACTATCAACCGGGTTCCTACTTACTGTGAGGTAAACAAAGGCATGTGGAATAAGGAAACTTGCCCAACGTTTCGCCCTGCTGAGAATCAAGCTCAGGTCTCTCACTTACGAGGAGAGTGCTCTAACCACTAAGCTACAGGACTCCATGAATGTTAGAGCGAGTGCTCTAACCACTAAGCTACAGGACAGATTATTATTATAATCATATACAATCATTATTATAATAATTATTATGTTTATTATATTTATATATATTATAATAATTATATATTATATAATTATATTATTATAATCAGTCGCTTTGTTTGAAGAAGCAACGTCATAATT